GGGGGGACATCTGTAATACTTTCAACAATAAAGACAAATTTTAAAAAGTATTTTGAACTTATAGAATCAATGAGCCCTTACAATACTTAGGTAAAAGTGAAACATAAGTTCGTGGATGGCATTCCCACTGGAGAAAGAAGAAAGAGTGGCGGACAGGCTGTCGTGTGGGGGGAGGGGAAGAAAAGGGAAGAAAGTCGGGGTAGGAAAATCTTTATCTACCCTTTGAGGATGGAAATGGATGGTCAAGAACAGTCACTTCAAGAGAGTGTGGGACCCGGGGATGGGAGACTGCAGATGGGGAAGGGAGGGGGGCCAGGCATGTGCCCACCATCCTCCAGTGCCCCTGACTGCCAGGCATTGGCCTTGGCGACTTGCACCACTTGGGTCTGTGCACCCTCCACCCAGGACATCTAGGTCTACCCAGGACAGCCAGTCCTTCCATCCCCTACGTGGCGCCCCGCTCCCCAGGACAGACTGAGGACGTGGGAAGCCAAGAGTGAGTTAGGGAACAAACAGGGAGCTCTGGTTTCTGTTTCCCTAGTTACTCATGACTGGGCGAGTGAAGGAATGTGCTTATAAACACTTACTCACAACATGCAGCGACCAAGCCACCCTGGGAGAGACTAGAAAGGTCAGGCGCGGCGAGGTCACCGTCATTCCTATGATTGCTTGTGGCTACCGAGAGACGGGTTGTTGATAAGGGTGCGAGTGCGCCAGGCTCAGCGAGAAAGACTCCGGGGGGGACTGTGAAGGGCCGCGAGGGCACGCCTGCCGTCCCTGGTTTAGGGAGTAGTGTTCGCGCTGGGACTTGAAGGACAGCAGGAACTGTGTGCTCTGGGAAAGGGGACAATGCAGAGACAGTGAGAGGTGTTCCTGCTAAAAGGGGCTGCCACTGGGCAGAACTCAGGTGGGTGAGTGGGGGAGGGCGCCACAGAGCAGGGGTTAGAGAGAGGCAGGCAGTGGGAGGCTCTGTCCTCTCAAATTATCGATTCTTTTTGTGTTGCCCATTCCCTGACCTCAATCCCTACTTGTTTCCCAAGCTTTTCCAAGTCCCCGTGGCTCAGTGGACCCTCGGTAAAGATTTGGTAGAAACACAGATATGTAGCTGGGGTTCATTAAGAATCATCGTGGGCCTGTAAACAAACAGCTCTCTCCAGCTCAGGAGTGGCTGAGCCAACGAAGTGGTTTCAGGAGCCAAAAGCAAGTCACTAGCCAGCTCTAGACACATTAATTATAAGCAGTTGCTAAAAAAAACAAGTGCTGGCGAGGGTGTGGAGAAAGGGGAACCCTTGTGCACTGCTGGTGGGAATGCAGACTGGTGCAGCCACTGTGGAAAACAGTGTGAAGTTTCCTCAAAAATTTAAAATGGAGCTGCCTTATGACCCAGCGATTCCACTTCTGGAAACATATCCAAAGAATCCCGAAACACCAATTTGAAAGAACATGTGTACCCTATGTTCACTGTAGCATTATTTACAGCCAAGATTTGGAAGCAGCCCAAGTGTCCATCAGTAGATGAGTGTATAAAAAAAGCTGTGGGACATTTACACAATGACTATTCCCCAGCCATAAACAAGAAGGACATCTTACCCTTTGCGACAGCATGGATGGACCTGAGGAGTATGACGCTAAGTGAAATAAGCCAGTCAGAGAAAGACAGATACTGTGTGTAATCTAATGAACAAAATAGAAACAGACTCATAGATAGAGAGCAGATTGACAGCTGTCAGAGGGGAGGGGGTTGCAGGGCTGGGTGAGAAGGGTGAAGGGATTAAGCAAAGCCCCCCCCAATAATTAATAAATAATAATATAAGAATAAAAAAAGAAAAAATATAAGCAGTTGTTTTTCTTTGACATGAAATAATTTTTTAGATATAGTGAGAATTATCCCAACTCCAGGTGAAAGGGCTGTAACCAAGGTAACCACCATTATGTCAAACAGAAAATAATGGAAGATGTAAATTTAAGACATGGTTATGTAAGACAAAGCTCTGTTTTCCCCCTTCCTCGGTCTTTGCTAATAATTCTCACTGGTCTTTCGGAAGAGTTATACCATTGCTAAAACAGCTTTGGCATTGGGCATTACTTTTAAAAGACAGCCTTGCAGAGCCCTTTAAAGAACCATCATTGTCCTGAAAAGAATGCTGGGTGCGAAGGAGACACACTTCCCTACTGAGGAAATGTCTAGGCATTGTCATTTCTCTAGAAACCACTTCACTTGGTTGTAAGTCTTTAAAACACTCACGCATAAAAATCCAACACCCAATAAAAAAAACACACCACTTCAAGTCCTGAGAGCACAGTGGCTTTTAGAAGCTCAAAAAGGATTACCCCCCCCTTATCTGTCAGCCAATCTCACCCTCTTTCACACATTTTACAGAACATATATTATGACAATATATATTTTTTAAAAGCAATAATGAGACAGTGCTATTTTGACCAGAAACCAGAAGGCCTGTGTGTGTAGAAGTAATTATGGAAGGAACAGCCTCAAAATTCAATCTGGCTGCTGCTGCTGCTCAGATGAAAGTGAACCTGGCCCGCCTGCTCGCATCTCCACGGATGTGTCACACGGCTAAGCCCCAGGCAGGACAGAAAAAGCAACACGAACTTTTTGCAAATTACCACCACTTAGTCGATGACACTTTTTCTTTCCTTTTCTCCATGCCTAGATGTTTAGAGCTGGAGAAATAAAAGATAATGAAAAACAGACAAGGGTACCTTTTTAACTCTTCTCATCAAGGGAGAGCACAGATCTGGCTTTGGGTTTTGTGACACTAAGAAAAAAATATCTCCTTAAACGTGGCCAACACTGTCCTTCCACAAACTGTCAATGATTTTCACACAGCGGCCAACGTCACCTTCCTGGTGTCACCAACTGAAAAACCGGTCTGCCGCTGGCAGTGTTACCAAGACATGGCCTCTGCCACACTGAGCTTCCAACTCCCCACTCTCCCCAAACTAGTGTTCTGTGTGTCTCTATAACCAATGGGAAGGAGAGTCACCACTAAAAAGAAACAGAGCAATGGAGCTGAAGTAATGGAAAGTCCTTAAGATCTTTAAAAAATGTTGAGATATTCTGAAGGAAAACACATCGGGGGTCTTTGAAAAATAGCCCCAAATGTATCTCCTCCTTTGGGTCTCCCTGAGGATTGATATTACAGAATTTACACGTCAGTGAATTTGTGCAGTTGCACCAAACCTCAAAGCTGAGAAAGCAGGTAAAAAATACGCTGTTCTCTCAAATAGTCAAGAGCATCGTCAGCAAGAGGCAAACATCTCTGTGTTTAAGGCAGGGACTGAGCTACCAGGGTTGAGACCAGCTACTAGCATCACTTGTAGTAAATAAAGGGGCAGGAAAAAAAAACAAAACACAGCCCAGGGTCAAGGTGGTCTATGGATGGGGGTTTTTTTGGGAGGGGTGGGGAGAGGGCGGAGGATTTCTGGAGAGCGTCTATGGCTTCCAGAAGATTCTCAACGCGATCCCTGACACCCCCCACCTCTCATGCCAGCCCCTTCCACGGAGAGCAGAGGAAGCCCTCCCACCAGCAGCACTGAGCCTTGTAATGACACAATAAGACAGAGAGTGTCTTCCTGTCCTGGAAAAAAAGTTTTTATATTATAATTGGTGGGCTATTCACACTCAAACCGTGGGGCAGTGATAAATTCTCTATAATGATTTTAATTGTAAAGTTGTCCCCCAGGTGCCCTAAGTATATCACATTCGGTGGTTGCAGAAGGGGCTCCTCACGGAAAGCATTAAAGGACACCTGACTGCTTTGTTAACTTGGTATAGAACCAGAAGCTACTGTCGATAAATATTAATGAAGGATTAACTAACCAATTTTGTTTGTTCTCCTGAAATTTATAATAGCTTTTGGGGGGTGTGATTGAAGGCGCAGGTTGCTTTAAAGCAACACCACTGGAAGTCTGAGGGGTGCCTAGAGGTCAGCCAGTTCTGAGGTCAGTGTTGACTGGGGGGTGCATGCTGGGCTTTGAGGTCTAATCCCACCCTGAGAGGCCTGAGCACAAAAGGGACCTGCAGACACCAAGACAGCCCGGGGCAGAGGGTGCAGTCACAGGGCAGTGGGCACAGCCCACACCCCCCGCACAGGGCTGCACCACAACCCACCCTGTAAAGAGGCTTTGCCGAGAAAATGCTCCAGCTGAATTGTTCCCCACGTGGCTCCGCTTTTCCCTAAACGGTCTGGGGCCCTGGCCCCCAAACCCTGCACCACGCCCAGGCCGCGGCGGTCCGAGGGGAGAGGCCAAGGGGGTCACTTACCCGACGCGGGCGGCTGCTCGCTGCCCGGGCTCCCTGGCGCCGGGGCGCCCCC